CGACGAAGACGGATGAGCACCGCCTGAGCTGAGAGGACGAGGAGGAGGATGAGGAGGTTTGAGGAGGAGAAGCAAGGAGGAGGAGGAGGAGAAGGAGGAGGTGGAGAGAAGCAGGGGCAGGAGGAGGAGGGGGAGGAGGAGGAGGAGGAGGAGGAGGAGGAGGAGGAGGAGGAAGAGGAGGGGAGGAAGAGGAGGAGGAGAATGAGGAGGACGAGGAGGAGAAGGAGGAGGAGGAGAAGGAGGAGTACGAGGAGGAGGATGAGGAGGAGGAAGAGGAGGGAGGAGAGGAGGAGACAAGGAGGAGGAGGAGGAGGAGGAGGAGGAGGAGGAGGGCAGAGGAACAGGAGGAGGAGGAGGAAAAGGAGGAGGAGGTAGAGGAGGAGGGAGGAGAGAGGAGGAGGAGGAGGAGGAGGAGGAGGAGGAGGAGGAGGAGGAGGAGGAGGAGGAGGAGGAGGAGGAGGAGAGGGAGGAGGAGGAGGAGGACCAGTGTAAACCCAAGAGTCATCAACGATGTTGAAATAAACCCTCCCTCCAAGCTCCCTCTTCATAGGCCCCTACATCGGTTCATTTCCACCCAGGGAACTGCCTCGCTGGAAGACAACCGTTTGAAGACCCTGAAGCATGCCAAAGCACTGTTCTCGGGATTCCAACGCCACAGAGCAACCTGACTGTTGCGTCTTGGCGGTCCTGAACCGCGGCAGAACGCCATTCGTGGGACTTCAACACCGCGAATCAACAGAACTGCTGCATCCTCATAACCCTGAGTCCTTCCTATACAACATGCTTGGCACGCTGATCATGGGAATCCGCCAAACACTTACACATGTTAAAACAAATGTGCGCGGCGCCAAGGCTAGAGCCAAATTTTGAAAAGGAGCCGCCATCAATCCGTGAAATTCGTGCGAATTAAAAAAACGAACGCGCGCAGCGCTAAGGCGAGAGCAACATTTTGAAAACAGCCCGCCCTTCATGTGTGAAACTGCTGCCAATCTTCAAGCTTCAGAGTCATAATTGGTGAGGAAGTCTCAGGCGAAACACCGGGCCCGCCCTAACAACTGGCCTCGGGGTGCGACATGGAGAAGTTGTTTATGAAGAAAAGGAATGGAGGAGCAGGAGAAGGAGGAGCAGGAGGAATAGTGGGAAGAGGAGCATGGAGGAGGAGGAGCAGGAGGAGGAGGAGGAGGAGAAGGAGGAGGAGGAGGAGGAGGGGAGGAGGAGGAGGAAGAACAGCAAGGAGGAGGAAGAGCAGCAAGGAAGAGGAGGAGGAGGAGGAGGAGGAGCAAGGAGGCGGAGGAGGAGGAGGAGGAGGAGGACAAGGGCAAGGAGGAGGAGGAGGAGGAGGAGGAGGAGAAGCGGCAGCAGCAGGAGGCGGAGCAGGGGCCTCGCTGCTCGAGGCCGCGAGAAGCAGGAGGAGCAGCAGGAGGAGGAGTCAAGGAGTCACAGGGTACGGAGGCGGCGCTGGCCACCGTGGAAAAGCAAGTGGCTTCCGTGGCCTCCAAGCGAGGGGATGGAAGCGTGCGGGGCACAAGAATTTCCCGCCCCTCCCTCCCTCCTCCTTCGCGGCCGCTTTCGCCTGTCTTCCCTTCATCCTGCCGCCAGTTAACTTGCGCCTGCCAGTGCCCAGACCGCCGGAGCGCGTGTGCGGACTGACTCTGCCGTGCTGCGACGTAAAAGCCCTGGCTTTCCTGCTCTTGTGGTGGAGGCGGCATGAGCGGGTGCCCTCGCGGATGTCTGGGGTCGGCGTTGGACCCTCTGCTTTGGCGGGCAAAGCGCGCCAGGGGCGGCGCTGTATGCGCCGCCAGGCCCGCCGCCAGGGAGCTCCAGCGCCGACCCCAGAAGTCCGCGCGGACCCCGCAAGTATACATGCTTCTGAAATTTCCGACGCAGGAGGTCCGCGCAGACCTCCGAAAATGTGTATGTTTATGCCCTCTGCTGTTCGCCGACCTCTCCCCCTCTCCCGCGCACCGGCTTCCCGGCAGGCTCGAAGTGGGAATCGGCGGCGCGCCGATGCGCCGACTCCGAAAGTGTTTGCGCACGGCGTTTCTCTACTTGTTCGTCAGCCTCTCTCCCTCTCCCGCGCCGCCCTGTCGGGCAGGGCTGGGACCAGGACGCACCGTTCCAGAGCGTTCAGGACAGCTCTTGAAGCGCTCTGGAGCGCGCCGCCACCTCCGCGGCGCCCGACAGATCCTCCAGAGCTACCGGATCTCGATTCCCCGATTTGTCCCAGCCCGACGTTGTCCTGGTCCTGGCTCGGGCGGGTGGCAATGGGGGGTGATTCCAATGGGAGGCGGAGAGACGGCCCTAAAGGGACGATTCAGAGCCCCTTTTGGGTCCCTGCTGGTTCCAAACGAGGCCCTAAGGGGCTCTTTTAGGGCCATCTTCTTCGCTCCTTATTTAAATCACCCCCCATGATGGAAGTGCTGGCAGCTTCTAAGCTTCACGGTCACTAGTGCTGAGGAAGTCTCAGGCGAAACGCCCGGCCCAACCTTTCGACCGGCCTCGGGGTGCGACAGGGAGGAGTTATTCAGAAGGAAAAAGAACAGAGGAGGAGGAGGAGGAGGAGGAGGAGGAGGAGACGGAGGAGGACGAGCAGGAGGAATACCGAGACACCAGACGTCGGGCTTCTTCACCACGCGGCTTCTCAGAGGCCCGGACCCCCTCCCGGGAACCCGCTTCTCACCCCGAGCCGCTCTCCGACGGCTTTCATCCCACGTCATTTCTGTTCCTCCGCGACTGACTTTCACCCCGACCGACAGTCGAGGCTCGATCCTCTCGCAGCTGCTGGTGCTTTCGTGGGCCTCTGGGAGGCTTCTCGTCGCCATGGCCTGGGGCCCCGTCGGGATCTTGACGGGAGCGCGCCCCCGGGAGGGGTCCGGGGCTCTCGTGGGCGAAAGACGCGTCCGTTTCCGCGGCCTCGCGGGCAGGGCTCGCGGCTCCCGCGGAACGGTCTCGGCGAGGCGCAGCTGCTGGAAAGCATCCCGAGGCGAGAAGCCCTCCGAGAAACAGCGAAGCTCGGCCGCACCGATACGCAACACGCAAGCCGTAGCGTGTTGACACGTAGCTCAGCACGTACAGTGACAGCGTAGGTCTGGCACGATGCGCTCGCCCAAACGAGGGGCAACACGTGCCGAACCAGCACGCAGCGTGTCAACACAGACGTTTTGAACACGGGCCGTGTTGCGTTTCAAAACGTGCGTATCAGGGCAGCTGAGCAGCGAAGACCGGGTCACCTGGCTTCGCGCATCGCGCCCCGCGGTGCCTGACGCGTGGCTATCTTCGCGCCCTCGCACTGCCACGCCCCGGAGAGGGGCAGCTCGCCAGCCGAAGTCGCGACGCGCGATCCCCACGGCTATCTCCGCGCCGACACCTCATAGAACGTGGACGACGACGAAGACGACGAGGGAGGGAAGATGGGGGGGAGGTGGGATGCAGAGAAGGCAGGAAGAGAAGGAGGAGGAGGAGGAGGAGGAGGAGGAGGAGGAGGAGGAGGAGTGGGATGATATCTTTATATATAGGAGGACGAGGAGGAGGACGAAGAGGAGGAGGAGGAGGAGGAGGAGGAGGAAGAGGAACGGCAAGGAGGAGGAGGAGGAGGAGAGGAGGACGACGAGGGAGGAGCAGGAGGAGGAGGAGAAGGAAGAGAAGGAGGAGAAGGAGGAGGAGGAGGAGGGGGACCGATGGAAACCCAAGAGCCATCAACGATGTTGGAACACTCCCTCCCTCCAAGCTCCCTCTGCATAGGCCCCTACAACGGTTCATTTCCATGCAGGGATCGGCCTCGCTGGAAGACAACTGTTTGAAGACCCGGAAGCATGCCAAAACATTGTTCTCGGGATTCCAACGTCACGGATCAACCTGACTGTTGCGTCTTGGTGATCCTGCATCATGCCAGAACGCCGTTCTTGGGATTTCAGCACTGCGAATCAACGTAACTGTTGCGCCCGCAAAATCCTGAATCTGTCCCAAACACCATTTCTGGTACGTTGATCGTGGGAATCCGTGAAACGCTTGCAACATTTGTGAACGAATGCGCGCGGCGCTAAGGCGAGAACCAGATTTTGAAAAGGAACCGCCCTCAATCGGTGAAATTCTTGCAAACTTTTAAAACGAATGTGCGCGGCGCTAAAGCGAGAACCACATTTGGAAACGGGTGATCCTCAGTCCGTGAAGCTCTTGCACATGTTTAAGAAGGCGCGAGCCGCATTTTGAAAACGGGTAATCCTCAATCAGTGAAGCTCTTGCGCGGCGCTAGGGCGAGAGCCACATTCTGAAAACCACCCGCCGTCTATCTGTGAAACTGTTGCCAATTTCTACGCTTCGGAATCATTGATGGTGAGGAAGTCTCGAGCGAAACGCCTGGCCCGCCCAAAAATACTGGCCTCGGGGTGCGACATGGAGAAGTTGTTTATGAAGAAAAGGAATGGAGGAGGAGGAGGAGGAGGAGGAGGAGGAGGAGGAGGAGGAGGAGGAAAAAGAGGAGGAGGAAAAAGAGGAGGAGGAGGAGGAAAAAGAGGAGGAGGACGAGGAGGGAGGAGAAGGAGGATGACGAGGAGGGAGGAGAAGGAGGATGAGAATGAGGATGAGAAGGAGGAGAAGGAGGAGGAGGAATAGGAGGAGGAGGGGGAAGAGGAGGAGGAGGAGGAAGAGGAGGAGGAGGAGGAGGTGGAGCAGGAGCAGGATATAGAGGAGGATCTATAGGAGGATCTAGAGGAGGTGGAGGAGAAGGAAGGGAGGGCGACATCGGTATTTAACTTCACGCCATCAGCTCACAGCTTACATGAGGAGTTTATCAGTTCAACCTCTGATGAAGCCTGCGCGCCACAACTTAGCCAGGACAGCAATGCCTGCGCAGGAGCGAGGCGCGCTCCACTGCAAGCAAGGAAAAGAAGGGGGAAGTGAAGCACACATGCGGAGGGGACCGACTGCCTTAGTCCGATCCCGACTCCTCTCCCGGGTGCTGGGGCTCCACACGGGGCGCGGCTCCCGAAGCTTCTACTCGCCTCACCAGCGCAGCCACCGAGCGGGGCTGCACCGACTGCGCCAGGTCCGAGGCAAGCTCCTGCCGACGGGCCTCGTCCTCGTAGTCTGTATCCAGACGGAGCCCCGACGGGCCAGGCAGATTTCTACAAGGGCCCCTGGGCAAATTATCCAGATCCAAAGGGTCGAGGGGGCCCTCTACGGCCACTTCCGACCTCTTGGGGTGTTTACCTCGAACGGCGGTCGACCAAACCCATCTCCCGAAACGCGACGGACGATGAAAGCATCTCTCGCGCAAACCTTTGAACCTACCGTGCGAGGGGTACGCCTTACACGCTGTGCAAATAAGCAGCGTGGCCCCGTCAGAGCAATCCAACGCTATCGAATGCCCCTGGCCACGACTTTCAGCAATCGGCAAATCCTGGAGCCCTGGGCAGGAAGCCGCGGGGGAGTTGGATGGCCACACCTTGCGGCTCACCTTTAAACGCTCCGAGCACTTCCCCAACAAACTATCGTGAAGCCACACATGTTTACCTTTCGAAATCCTGCTTGGCCTAGGCGGGCGAACGTGATCCACCTCCGCGAAATCACGCAGGGAAGCAAATTTGGGGAGGAGGTGCATGGTCAGGAGGCAAAAGGCTCTGGCGAACAACATGTCCTTAGCGGTGGCTGTTTCCAAATCCTTGTCTGTGGCGTGACGTAAGAGGGCTTGCTTGGCTAAATGATCTGCCTGGTCATTGCCGAGGCGCCAGAACTTGAGCTCTTCCGAAATAGATTCGTCGTCCAGCGACTGGTGCGCTCGGACGTGGTGTACATGTTTTGTTTGAAGTGCTGAAAGCCCTCCTCGGCACGAGCTTGAAGGAAAGGGCCTGCATATAATTTCTTATCGCTCAGCTGGGCAGCAAGCGGCAAGGCGAAACGTTGAACAACGTTATCGCAATCGGAAACCAACACACTGGGCCCCGTGAGAAGCTGGAGCCCTGCAACGAAGGCGCAACAACTCGCCAGCCTGCGGAGTCTGGGGCATGTGCGACCAGATTGAACCCGCAGCGGATGCAATGAGTTCATGGTCGTGGCTACAAAGGGCCACACTCCAGGACGCCCGAGACAGTTCTTTGATTACTCTCCTGGAGCAGGAACCATCTACAAACAAAACACCTTCAAACTGACCTGGCTGGGGAGGGTGACTGTACCGTTTCAGATCCAGGGAGTCGTCCATATGCACAGGAGGGGGATGCTGGTCTCCAGAGTGAGGAAGGGCTCCGTTGGTAACAACGAACAAACTTTTCGGACGACGAGATGTAGTCGATGAGGGGCCCCAAGATTTCCGAACCAACCAATTCTTCACGCTCGTCATCTAGCTTAGGGAACTTCCGCAGCCGGTAGAAGATCGAGTCAGTGGGCGCCCCGCAAAGCTCGCAATCTACTGAAAAGTGATAGCCACGGCTCCTCGCGATGATACGTGTCCATATACCTTCACACGCACAACTCCGAAGAAAACCTTTTTGGAGAGGTGTGTACTTGGAGGAAGACAGGTCGGAGGAGACAACATCGCAGCACAGCCTGCCGTGCCCACAGCTCACAGGAGGAGGAGGAGGAGGAGGAGGAGGAGGAGGAGGAGGAGGAGGAGGAGGAGGACGACGACGACGCATATGAGCCGAGAGCGGCGGGCGGAAGGGGGGGGGAGCCGCTGCCTCCGCCGCGGGAGGGGGCCGCCCCGGCCAGCATGGAGGCCGAGGGTACCAGCACGCGGATGCGGACGCTGCCTGGCGCGGCGGCTCCCCCCCTCGAGGTTCGACGTTTTTTCCTCGCAAGTGCAGTCAATCTGCATGAGAAGGACGCGCTAGAAGGGTGCGAGGGCCTGGGGAGGCCATGTGGACACTCTGCGGGCGGGGCGCGGCCAGCGAACGCGGCCAAGGATGGGCCGAAAGGGAAGGATGCAATGGTAATCTTGGAAAGTTGCTCATTCTCACTGTGTGTGTTGACCGTAAGCGCTTTCTTCTTCTGGGTTTCGACACTCTGGCCGGAGGGTGGGGGAGGGGGGGGGGGGTCTGGGCCTGGGTTGGTGCTCCGTCGATCTGCTTTTGACGGTCGCGCCGGCAGACTGGGGGGAAGGGCTCCCAGAAACAGCCGCCCAGAGCAGCCAAGATCTGGTCCATGGAGGTGGGGGGAAAGGAGGGAGGCCAGGGGCCCGCGCCGATCGGCGAAACAATGAATAAAACAACGGCGATGTTTCCACGCAAGCATCCACAGGTTTCGGTGCTGGCCCCGTGCCTCGTGCGCGTGCCGTTCGCATCACGTGCAAAGTACAGACAGAGCGCGAAGTAGAGACAGCGGTGCCAATGCAGAAATATTCCAGCGTTGTGCGTGCATCTCCTTACGATCCGACCGAGGCTCGGGGGTCAAGGTCCAGGATCGATCGATGGGTTCGAGGGTCATATACATATATATATATATATATATAAATGTATGTGTAAGGAGCCGTTGAATAAGGAGTCCGGGATCTGGAAGCCAGTGACACGCCAGCCCTGGAGTGGCCTGAATATCACCGCGCCCTGGTCAGATGTGGAATCCTCCAGGTTCTGAAATTTCCTGGGCACATTCTTCAACGAACGCCCCACCGCAGGTGGTTTGGCCTCGGTTGAGGCTTCGGGCGGGGGCCTCGTGCCACGGCTTGACTCGGCTGGAACAGCTGCTGGTTGGGATAGTGTCCAGCGCCAGCGCGCCGAGGGCTTGGGCAAGTTCGCACGAGGCCAGACCAAGGATCTCGAAGCGCTGGCGGGCCCGGAGGGTGCTTTGCACGAAGGTCACGGGTCCTGCAGGAAACGGAGCCTGGAAGCTTCTCGTCGCGGAGGGGAAGGAGGAGGAAGAGGAGGAAGAGGAGAAGGAGGAGGAGCAGGAGGAGGAGGATAAGGACAAGGAGGAGGAGGAGGAGGAGGAGGAGGAGGAGGAGGAGAGGGAGCAGGAGGAGGAGGAGGGAGGATCCCCCTCTGCGCGTGCGCCAGGGGCCTGAGCGGCCCACGGCGTTGGCCGCGCATACCTCGAACTCATAGGCGCTGAGCGGGCGCAGCCCGCCCACCTGCATGGGGCGGCGCGGCGCGGCGCGCGACCGTCGCCGACGTGGCCTGAGCTGAGCCGGGCTGGGCCGAGCCGAGCTGGGCGCTGGGCTGGTGTAGTGCCAAGGCTACGCGTCGGTCGGAAGGAGTCGGTAGAGACATGAAGTAGGAAGGCGGATGAAGTATAGTGGGTTCAGGCCCTCCCAGAGAATACCCAAACACAGCAATAACCTATTGGTTCTTGGAATAGAAAGGCGCTTGAAGTAGATTGGGATTTGGGAATACAGAAATACCTGCTTTCAACGACCGGCGTGTGGTGCTAAGGCTGCGCAGGGCACCGTGCCAGGACAGTGGGCGGAGGTATGCTGGGCTAGGCTGAAACAAACCAGGCTAGGCCAAGATGGTGCTGTGCCGGGCCATGCTGGGCTAAGATGGTGCTGTGCCGAGCCACTGAGGCTGAGCAGATTGTGAACCACGCCGAGGCGAGCCAGGCCAGGCAGGGTAACGGCGCAGGGCGGTGCGGTCTTCGCGCGCGGCGGCGCGGCGCCGCGCTGGCCTGAGCTGAGCCAGCCTGGGCCGGGCCGAGCTGGGCAGGGCTGGGTACTCGTCGATCGAGGCTCGAGGCTCAGAGCTCGAGGACCGACAATCCGGGCGTCTCTCGCTCGTTTCGGGCATCTGGTGAGGCGATTTTCGTCGCCACGGCTGGATCGGCCCTAGAAGCTCTGGCCAGAACTCACCTGGAGAGGTCCGGGGGTCGATCTTTCAAGGTCGCCTGACTTCTCGCATCGCGCCCCGCGATGCGCGACCCGCGGTCATCTTCGCGCCCCCGCGAAGCCTCCTGGAGAAGGGCAGCTGTCCTGCCCGGGCCGCGACGCGAGAAGCGCGATCGTCTTCGCGCCACTGGGGGCGACCCAGAAGACAGTGGTATGCTGAGCTAGGCTGAGCAAGGCTGAGCTAGGCCACGGAAGCGGTGAGGCTGAGCAGGGTACCGCGAGCCAGACTAGGATCAGCACAGCGGAGCCGAGCTATGGCGAGGGCCTGCCTGTGCCACCCCCGACCCTGGTTCGACAAGTTCGACAGGTCTTTCCCCTCCTCTTTCACTGCTGCTCCTCCACAGCCCTCAGGGCGACAAGTCGATTGGGAATCGCTGGGCGTGCTGATGCGGGCTGGTGGGGATACGCACACGAATCGTCGAGAGGCTCTGCCACACCCGCCAGCTCCACCACGATTTATTCCACCACCTCTGCCTTCCTCATCAGTTGAATATGCCGAGGCGCCAGGGGCGTACAGAGGGAGTGGTAGAAACAAGTGTGGCAGAGAGGGTCTAGGCGGTGGAAGCGGCAGTGGTGGCAGAGGTAGCAGAGGCGGTAGACATGCTCACGCTGGTCGGTGGGACACCCTAAGTCTGGAGCAGACCCACTGGAAATCCTCAGGCGACCCATCGATGCCGAGAGGGTGGACGATGCCTGCAAAAGAGGGGGCTGCAAAAAGACCGTGTGTTTCTGATCAGTCGCAGTCTCAACGGCACGCCCATAAATACTCCCGTGACAACGGCCACTATCGTGGTATACATGCTATCCTAACTCAAGAGCAAGAGCTGCAACCACAATGGACTGGTACAGCTGCGAAGAAACCGTGCACGCGCCAACTTGGTGACCCCCGAAACAAAAACAATCTGACGTGGCGACAAGCGTAGTGGATTCTGAGGGGAGCCGGCACAGCAAGCAGAGCTGGCACACACCTCGGTTGCCCATGAAGGGACCTGCTCCGCTGGCTTTGCCAGTGTGCGCAGAGGGGGGCGCCTAGAGATCTCGAAGTGAGCTGGCTAAGCTGGTGCACGCGCCCTTTCCTTTCACACAAAGCGGCTCGACTCTGTCCCAGGGAAGCTCAAAACCAGTACGTGCCTGATGCTACCTATATGCCCACATGCACTCGCACATGTGCGCACGCAAGCATGAGCATGGTGGAGCGTGTAAACATCCATACGAACTGCATACGGCAGGTTCGCGTCGTGACGTCTCAGGCGCTGGTTTCTGACACTGGGTGGATCTTTGGACTTTGAACGATCGCGGCCTTTCGATCGTGCAGATCGTTCCACGTCGGGCGAGTCTGGGCCATCGGCGGCGTTCAACCTTGAACGCCCGCGGCGGGAGCGCCGCCGCGTCGACGCCACGCGAACCCACCGTATTGACGTTCGCTTCGTATCGCCAACAGCATGGAAGGGAGCGCCGACGCTTCAAGCAGACGATGTGGTGCGAATAATCCCCAGACCACCACGATCTGCATCGGTACAACTACGGGCATCTCGATCTCGGTGACCTCGGTGGCGCGCAGCAAAGGGGGGCACGCTTCGGGAGTGTGTGTATGTGTGTGTGTGTGTGTGTGTTTGTCTGTGTCTGTGTCTGTGTCTGTGTCTGTGTCTGTGTCTGTGTCTGTGTGTCTGTGTCTGTGTCTGTGTCTGTGTCTCTGTGTGTGTGTGTGGGGGCAGCCCTCTGAGAAGCCTAAAGAGTTTGCTGAGGGGATCGGCATCACACACACACACACGCACACACACAAGCACTTACATACTAGGTACATGTACGCACATATGTGTGTTTATACGTATGTGTATATGTAGATATTCAGAAATGCATTCATGTATACTTATATGCACGTGTGTATATGTGTATATGGATGTACCCATTCACAAGCACATGCATACACTAGAAAGGCGCGCGATTCGCGCGCGCGCGCTCAAGATCTAGCTAGCTCTGGAGCCAACGTATACAATGGGACCACGCCGTCATAATCCAGAGCCGCAGGGTGTCAATGGCGTCTTCAGGTAATTTGGGGGGTCGTTGTGACTGTAAGCAATGGAACTCCCTACGCCGAAAAGTTGGAGATCCTAGAACTCGGCACATGTCCATGAATGCCTCAGGGCATGAACTGGTCTTCATGATCTAAGAATCGTCGTGGCGCAATATTGCGATCCCTTGAAGGACAGGAGGTTCGGAGGAGGAAGATGAGGAGGGCGTATGACAAAAAGGTGCATGTGGAGAAATTGGAGTGGTGAGAACGCGGGGGGAGAAAGATCACGGATGAGGAGGGGAAAAGGATGATGAGGGATCGGAAGAAGGGGATCGAAGACGCCCTCGGCGAGTTACCGTCGCCCCACTGCCTTTGGAATGAGCTTGTGTGGCCAACTATTGTGGAAGCGCGGTGAACGCGAGAGCGATAATCAATCAATGGACATGACCCGCTCTCTGGCCAGCACTTTTTGTCAGTCGAAGTGCAACGCTGGCGATTTATCATGCGGGACCCTGCGCACACGCTGGATGACGCCAGCGCAGGAACAGAGACTGAAATCCACAACAAAAAGTCTGTCGAGGCGAGGGCTGGCTTTGGGCGGACAGAAAAAGGCTTGAGAGACAGTGTCCATGGCGATCGTCAACATTACCATTGACATTAGCATGACCCGCTCTCTGGCCAGCACTTTTTGTCAGTCGAAGTGCAACGCTGGCGATTTATCATGCGGGACCCTGCGCACACGCTGGATGACGCCAGCGCAGGAACAGAGACTGAAATCCCGTAATCACGCCATTCCTATGCAGTAAGCTGGCTAGCAAGACGATTCACAATTGGCTGAGCGTGGCCACAGCACGGCGATGGACTACATGAATGAGAACATCGCCGATGAACTTAAAAATCTCTGGGGGGTATGGCTCCGCAACCTTCGAGAGCCATTTACCCCCCATCTTCCCTCGGATGTGCACATGTTTACGACCAGTGAAAGAACAGAGCCCCCCGCGACCGTGGCAGCGCAGGTGCGGGGCTTCGACCGTGCCACAGTGCTGAAAGACTAGCTTGGTTCTCTTGCGCATGGGCCCTCCAGCAGCACAGAAATCCACATCGACCACGGAGCCGCGAGCGAGAGCTCGGCGCCGAGAAGGAAAACACCAGAGGATGGAGGTCTGTGGGTTCTCCTCGCCGCAGCAGATGCCCAAATCCCAGGCGAGCTGCTGGAGGCGGCCTCCAGAGTCAATGAGACTATTGGCCTCGCGCACCTGTGCGCGGTGGCTAGCAGACAGGTCAGGCAAGCCACGGTAATGCTCAGACGATCTCAGCGGCGGAGGCATGCGACCTGATCTGTCCGTGCGGGCACGAGTGGTGGTGATACACGGAGTCGCAAACCAGAGGGCCCACACCAGGCCCGCACGAAGCCAGCCAGCGATGGTGAGCACCACCTCGCGCCGGCCGAGGTCGAACTGCGGCCCTTGCAGCTTGTCGAAGGCTATGCAGGCGTAGCCCTTGCGGCGAAGGTATTTGCTCACCGGCGCAGTGCCAGCAAAGAGGTCAACGAAGACGCTGTGCTTCAGCATGGTAGCATCTGCACGCGCCGCCCGCAGGCTGGCAGCAAGAGCCGGGCCAGCTCGCGCTCGCGGCGCTGCGCCTCCTCGCGGAGCTGCGCAGGGATGCGGTGCATCATCGAGGCCAGTCTGGCATGCTTCTCGTAGCGCCGCACGCTCTGGAACGAGCGCCAGCCGCCCCTCTTCTGAACGTCGAGGAGGGCCCGCGAGCGGGAGGACACGTCCTCCGAGGCCCCCCCGTGACGAAGGGAGTACGGCGTCACCTTCAGCTGCGCCAGGCCCAAGCCGAGGAGGCAGCTGTTCCAGGCCAGGAGGAAGTCGGTGTAGTGGAACAAAAAGAGCCGCTCCCGCTCCCCCCTGTTGGCCTTCAGAAGGCGCAGCGCCGACTCCAGCAGGCGGTGGCGCGGCAGGTCCAGGGCGACGCTGGTGTCGAACTCGCCGGTCTTGCCAAGCACGTCTAGCTCGCTCGCGCGGATCAGGATGGTCCAGAACTGGCAGGCCCCCCTCTCGTTCGGCACGGGCGGCACCAGCTGTAGGCCGACGAGGCTGAGCGCCTCGCTCGGCCGCATGTACGTCTCGAACGTCAACAGCAGGAACAGAGCGTAGTCCGCCTTGCCGTCGGAGCAGAGTCGCAGGGCCATCAGCACAGCCAGCGACCGAGGGACTGGTGGGCGCGACAGCGGCTTCTCGAGCCGGCGCCATCCAGTGACCGCAGCAGTCGCCAGCGGCAAGCCCCGGCGCAGCGGACGCGGCAGCTCGGGCAGCGCCCAGCGCACTGCGGCCAGCGTGCTGGAGGCATCCCCCTCGGGCAGCCCGCGGTCGTGCAGGAACTCCACGTACTGCTCCAGCAACAGGTCCCACTCGCTTGCAGGGAGGCGCTGAGGGGCTCTGGGCACGTGCAGCCACGCCAGCAGCTTGCGCAGGGCGTTCAGGTAGTTGCTCTGCGTTGCCGTCGTCACGGCCGCGGCAGCCAGGGAGCTGATGTGGAACCCCAGCTCCTCCGCCTCCTCCGCACTGCGGGCGGCCGAGTGCAGCGATGAGCCCGGGCGCCGCCGCGCCGTCTCGCGGCGCAGCCGGCGCGCCGAGCCAGACTCCCCGCGATAGGGGACCAGGCGGCCCGGCGCAGGTTGGCGGGCCACGCCCAGGGGGCCAGCAGCAGCCAGCGCGCGGCAGGGCAGCCGGCCCGAGGCCGGCGCAGGCTGCAGAGGGGGCGGGCTGGCAGGGCAGGCGTGGCGGCGAGGCAGAGCAATGCCCTCCGGCCGCGGCCTCCCGAGAGCCACGCCGCCCCCCGTCTCCGGCGCCACCAGAGGGCGCAGCACCCGACTCGGGGCAGGCGGGGCCCGGCTCGGACTCAGGTTCGCCGCTGGCACCAGCACCCTGCAGAGCAGCGGGCTCGGGCCCAGGGAGCCCCGCGGCGAAGGGCCCCGCAAAGGCCCGCCGCTTGGAGCGCCCCGCCGCGAGCTGCTCGCGAAGCCCAGCAGCGCCCGCTGGCCCGTGAAGCCGCGCCTCGGCGAGCGCGATCGGCTGGGTGAAGGGCGAGTCGCCACAATCATCCTCGAGCCGAGGCGGCGGCTGGTGACCACGGTCAACGTCCGCTGGGCAATCCGCTGAGGGGGCAAGTGCGGTGTGAAAGTGACGAGCATGATGAGACGAAGATGGGTCGTATCTCCTGCTGGGCTCGTCCGCCGAGTTCCACTCTGAAGGAATCCACCGAAAAGAAACACGTGCTCCAAGGGCCAAGCACATGGCACAAAACTCGCGGCACCTCCGCAGCAGGTACCACGACGAGCTCCGCCCCTTGCACGAGGTGAGGACCCAGGCCATAGAGTCCGACAAAACTAAGTGCCGCTCCTGGGCGCTCAGGCGGCTGCGGGCCAGCCGCCGAACCTGCCACAAGGCTGCCTCCGCCTCGAGCGCGAGGATCTTGTCCTTGCGCCTCCAGCGGCGCGCAGCCACCACGCCCCAGTCGTCCCCGCGCGCCAGGGCCGACGGCACCTCCTCGAAGGCGGAGCGCAGCCCCAGCGCACGCAGCTGCTCGGGCGAGGCGTCGACAATGTCGCTCAGCGAGGGCTCAGCCTCCTCACCCTCGACCAGGCAGCGCGGGCGGCGGGAGGTGCGCAGCGCCCCACGGCACCGTCCCCGCTCTGAGGCGCGGCCGACGCGACCCACCTCAGCGGGGGGCCAGGCCTTCTCGGTGACGCCGAAGCCATGCAGCGAGGCGTCGACCGAGGCGACGGCGGGCGACCAGGGTAGGCTCATGTCGGCGACGGCGAGCGGCAGCAGCGCCCAGGCAGCTCGAAGCTCGCGCCGAACTGAGGCCCACACGCGCGCCGGCTGCCCGAAGTAGCGGTCGGCGAAGACGTACACGGCCGAAAAGATGGACAGCATCTCGGGCCGCAGCAGCATGATGGCCGAGGCGTGGCCGACGGCCCGGGCAATCTGGCGCCCTGTGCGGCGCTGACGGCCCCAGCCCAACGTGCGGAGGGCCAGCGCGACCTTCCAAAACTTCCTCGCCGTAGGCCGCCACTGCGTGCCCGTCGGGTCCAGCTCGAACCCGAGCAGCGGGGCGCCAGCAGGCTCTGGCGCGGCGTCCACTCCAGCGGCCGCCACGGCGCCCAGCATCTGCTCCAGGCGAGCGTTCGCCTCCGTGGGGCTCGTGCCAAGTGCCGCGAAGTTGTCGATGTAGATGAGCGAGGTTCCCGAGCCAGGGCAGACGGGCTCGCGAGGCACGCACTGGGCCAACCAGCGGTCCGCCGGGGCACAGGGGCGAAGGATCTCCATCATGGCATGCTGTATGAAGTAGACCGCCCATGACCAGCCCATCGGCACCACTCTCAGGCGCAGGCGCACCAAGCCGTCCGGCGGTGGCGCCCCAACGAGCCGACGAGCGGCAAGCGGCAGTGCGGCCCAGGGCACAGGCGGTAAGCCAAAGGCCTCACGCAGGTGCACTGGCAGCAAGAACTGGTAGAAGCA